TATATATATATATATATATATATATATATATATATATATAATGGAAATTATATATTTTGTGAAAGCGAATAATCAATAAGTAAAACTATTTTGCTTAAAAATATAAAAAAAGATTTATTATAATATTTTACTTTTTGATGTTATAAGTAGATATCATTACAATAACTGATGAAAAGCTTAAAAAAGTATTAAAAATTTATCCAGATATAATAACCATATGCAAACACTAGTATATCATACTCAATTTACTATCAATACATACAAGGAACGTCGCGTAGCAAAAACTTAGGAGTCCGAGTCCGCTCCTTAATTTTGTCGTTAATTGTTGTTGGTAATTGTTAATTTTGTTGGTTAATTTTTTGCACATTCGTATACACGTAGCGCGGCACAAGCACGTTTGCCATAAAAAAATTTGTACTTTTTATTTACATAGTTAATTAAACAATTTTACTTCATGCTTGCAATAAAAAAACCGACAATTAATTCACGATTAAATTTGTTGAACAGACATTTCAGCTAGGTTTTCAGTCTGGGTTATTGAGCGCAATTAGTAATGACATGAAAATAAATATTGCCGACCAATTCTTTCTCGGTGGTCCACTGAATCTCCGAGGTTTCGCTATAAGAGGTTGTGGTCCTCGTTATAATGGAAATTCTATAGGCGGTGGAATATATTGGGCAGCTGCTCTTCATGTGTATACGCCACTTCCATTTAGACCTGGTCGTAACAGCTTTGGAGATTTGTTTAGGTTACATGGTTTTGTGAATGGCGGCAATCTGTCTAATTTGTTCTTTACAAACGGTGAGTAAAATGATTCAATGATTGTATCTATTTAATAAGATAAGATTTATTTTCCTATTAAACAGAGAACATTTTACTTTTATTAATTGCTTAACTTTCGTTCAGTAATAATGAAAAAATAAAAAAAGATTTTTCCGCGAATATATTTCAATTGTAATTATGTAAATTTTTTTGGCATGGAATAGTAAAGTTTTGATGAAATTCACGAATTATTTGAAAATAAAAAAATTTGTTAGTAAGTAAATGATCATTACATTTATTTGAATAAATTATTAAAATAAAAATTTTTCCATATAATAACAATTTTGACAAATTATATAATGACACGTTTCTATCCCTTATGGTGAATAGATATTTTCGATATCTAAATAAGTGAATCATTCATATCCGACATATTTTTTCGTCAATATAAAAGTTCGACGACTTTTTTCGATAAGGTATATTAGATTCCGAGTCCGGGATCTGATTTGGGTCCAATCGGTCCCTACTTGACTTTTTTAATAAGAATCTCCATTTGGAAATTCAGACTTCATATCTTTCATTTCAGCAGCCTTCTTTTTAAAATTTTAAATTATACAACTTATCTACTCAACCTATTTATCTTACAAGGGAGATTCGCGAAACCGAAAATTCCAAAAAATTTAAACTTTTACAGAAATAAAGTATATATGAAATAAAGTATATATGAAAAGTATATATGAACCTAATCCCTAAATTATTTTTTATTTTGGTTGAAAAACAGTTGGAAGTGTAAAAACTTTTTTTTTGATAAGCCAAAGAAATGCATTACGCATATCCGAGGCATTCGGGAAAGAGCCGCGGGTTATGTGGGATTTTCCCTCTCCCGTCAAAGATGACAGGACTTAGGCCCGGTTGCACTATTTTGGTTTTAAATGAGATTTAAATATATGTCTGTCTTTATTTATATAGAAAGAAATATAAAAATAGCTATATGTTTAAGTTTCGCTTAAAGCCAAAATAATGTTGGTGCAACCAGACCTTACTCACTAAAACCCCTGCCTCACCAGTCCTCGACGACTTAAGGACGGCCCGGGAACTGAATCAGCATTACTTCCAGGCCGTCCTCGCCATCATCTACTGTCCGTCTCGGAGTGGGCTGTCCGGCCCTTCCCCCCCGGAGGTTCTGTTTGTGGCGACCATACCTAGTCATCGTCCCCCTCTCCCGGTGATGAGGCTAGGAACAAGAGGCGGATATTTCCGCCTGCCCCTCGTTCCCTCCTCCTCCAGAGAGAGAGAGAAACACGGTATGGGGAACAAAAAGGTAGATTCTCGCTCCTCCCCTCTCCCCAGCGCGCCTTCCTCTCCGCAAAGACCGGCCATCTCTAGGGGACTTGCCAACGTCTCCCATCGACCCAGACGGCCTTTGACTCGACCGCCCGTCGCATCTTCTGTGTTGGGGAGAGAAGGCAGGCAATACTGCTGCCGACCTAGGTGGCCTTTCCCTCCTCATTTCTGCTCAAGAGGAATGGGGCATTATCCCCTCTTCTCTCAACCTCCCTGTTAAGCGTGGGGGGTTGTAGAGATGCCAATTCGATGTTTTTTCAGGCCGTCAGGGCTTGATTCTGGCGCACTTCGCACATGAACCCCCGATGAGGAAGTCCAAGTTTTGCCTCCTTAGGCTATAGGGCAAAGGAAGTCCGATAGATGAAGGGACAGGTCCGTCCTCTCTTTTCCTTCTTCGCCCGAATCTCTCACCCTCCATCTCCTGGAGGTGCGCAGAGCGGGGGTGCGGAGCATACCTCCGTTTGCTATCCCCTTGGTGATCCCGATCCGGATCGGGGGTTCTTTCCTACGCACTCTTTCCGCCTTCTCCTTCCGGCACATTACTTCGCGACAGAAGAAGGAGAGGGCCTCCCATTTCCGTGGCTTCTCCAGCAACGCTTTGACGAGTGTTGGATTGACCAAGTCGTCCCTCACTACTGCAACCAGGACACAGCGCTCTTCAGCCCAAGTCTGGCATACCTCTAGGGTGTGTTGCGCCATGTCCTGGTCGGACACACAGTAATGATACTTCATCGTGCGAAGTCCTTTCTTATTCTATGCAGATACTCTCCAAAATAGTCGTGTAGAATAGTACCTGCGTCATTCAACAAGTCTGTTCGTCGTGGATTCTGCCTATCTACTCTTTCAGGCAGGGTCGGATAGCTTCGACGATCCTGTTCCCCGCAACAGCGGGTTCTTCCAGCTGAAGCTTCCACATGAAGAGGAGCCGTTGGCGCGCCTGTCTGCGCGCCAGCGACGGCCTTAGAGTCCAATTCTCTCTTCCTCCCCTCTTGAACTCTTTGCGACGCCGATGTACTTCAATGTACATTTGTGCGAGGAGCTTCACGAAGGTGATATTCGCCAGTAATGTGGCCGCTGGTTATGACATGGTCCTGTAGGAACGAGAGATTCGGAAGGTCATCTATCTTTGGGACCCGCGTACCACAGTTTAGGTACGCCGACCCCAATTCCCCCGCCAACATCGGGACGCCGTAGAGGGCCATAGAGAGGACCGTGTAAAGTTTTCTGGCACACCTATCCGGACCGTCGACATTGGGCAGAAGGCGCGTTGGTCATCCTGCCTATCTTGGGAATCAGGAGATCATAGTGTTTCCTGAACTCCCAAGTGCCATCCAGGATGAGTCCCAGGACATCAATTGGAACTTCACTCTCACGCGATCCGACGGTGATATGGGCCTCCGGTGATTTTCCTCGTAACCTATTGTGCCATAAAGAGAACCATTGTGCATAAAGAGGACCTCGGTCTTGTAGGGGACCACTTTAAGGCCCAGTTTCTTCTATGGAGCGCACGGCGATGTCCACCGTGAGATTGGCTTTGGCCGTGATCTCCCCCCAATCTCGTCCCCCAGCCATTGCCAGGATGTTGCCTGCATAGCAGACCAAGTGACAGCCGGGGAGGAGGGCGATGCTAAGTATCACGTTGTATGCGAGATTCTACAGAAGCGGGCCCAAGACGGAATTCTGTGGAACCGCAGTATATAGCGCTCTGGAATTCCAGGTTGTTATGGAACTCCAGCCGCTTTTCCCGGAAATAGTCGCGGATTATCTCCTGCAGGTAGGAGGAAATTCCGATACGGGTTATCCCCTCCTTTACCATCCCAGGGGAAGGAGTTAAAGCTGTTGGAGATATCAAGTGACACCGCCAACGCCGCCCCTCCTTCCCCGATGACAGTCTCCGTGAGAGCTCTGACGCGTATGATCTACCGTCGATCGGTCCTCGCGGAACCCATATTGGCTGTCGCTGAGTCCGCGACTATTTCCGCTCCATATGCCTCATGAGGCGGGTCGCAATGATGCGGTCTTGCCTACCTCGTCTATGAGATATATGGGTATGTGGAAGGATTCTCCGCATCCTTGTCTTTCTTTGGGATTAGGACCAAAGTGGCTCTTTTCCAGTTCCGAGGGAAGACCCCGGCCTTGAGACAGCTATTGAAAAGCTGCCTCATCCGATTTCCCAATCCCGCAGAGGCCAAGACTCACGCACAGCCTGGGATGTCATCAGTGCCCAGAGTACTGGGCTCCGAGTTTCCTGACGGTGGTCCTCCAATTCTCCTTCAAAGATCTCCAGTTCCTCTGGCCAATCCTCAGGGGAGGAGAGCCTTCATATGGTGGGATTGAGTTTGTTCCTACCGGGAAGAGAGTTCCCACCACTCTGTCGAGGAACTGGGGAGGGTGAAAACACTTGTTCAAAGAAAATCGAATTTTTCATATTTTTGCTAATATCTCTAAAAATATAGGAGATATTGAAAAAGTGTTAAATGCAACATTTAATGATATATAATTATTTTTATCAATCTGACCAATAATTAAAAAAAGATATATTTCTTGATACCCCACTCCATCCCCACTTTTAAAATATTCTCCACATCTCACTTTTAAAATATTTTATGGCTCTTTAATAAATTATTTTTTAAATAAAAAGATAAAGATTTTTTTAATAAAAAAAAATGAAAAAATTTTTTCAAGGTGTATATAATCATGTGTATAATTTGCCGGTGGTAATTATTAAAATACTGGAGAACAAAACTTGCTACTAATAGATTAATGGATAGGACATTTCCCAGCAGAATTGCAACAACTTATGCAGAAACAAGTACAGATTTTAACGATACCGAAAAAAGCAACTGGTTTCATGCAACCTTTGGACGTGTTTGGTTTCAGAATTTGGAAAAATTTTGTACGAACTTTCTCTGGTGTTATATTGAATAATTACAATGTAAACTTACAATCGTGGAATAATATCATAAAATTATAATCCTCAATACATAATCAGTTTTCTTTTTTCAAAATTTTGAAGTTTATTCAAATATGCTTTGTATAAAAGCGGCTATTTATCGATACATCCTGATATATTTAGTAATCCGGTTGAATTTTGCTATTTTAAAGAGCAGAAAAAAATTTTAGTGTAGTGTTTGTAGCAAACAGACATTTATTCGTTGCGCATGGTGTAAAAAGTACTATTGTTTTTAACATTTTTACGAAAAATATTATTGTGACCGTTATATATAATTTATTACCATTCAGCTATATACATTAAATAGCCAAGAAGGGGACTTGGTTTACATTAAACAACTACCTCACACATTCCATATATCCTCCATTCATTCATTCTTTCCATTCCTCCATACTTTCTATATCTATATCACATTAAATTCTCCTCTCTCTTTCTTCTTTCCTTTACCCCATTTCACTTTATCCTTTTTCTTTTTCTTTTTCTCCTACTCTTTCTCTCTCTTTGATTTTACCCTCCCTTTCTCTCCACATTCTTTTTAATACTTTCCCTTTAATCTCATCGATTTCATCATCCCATATCCTTTCTTTTCCCCTACCTTCCATACTATCCATCTCCTCGAACCATCTCTTTCCCCACTCACATGTATACATATAATGATACATCTCATCCTGCTCCTTCCCACACATTACACACTTTCTCTCTTCCTCCTCTAACCAATACTTATTTTTTAACTCCAGATTAC